CTTTTTTCCTCCCTCCCTTTTGCCTCAGCTCCCGGGGCCCTTCCTCCTCCATCCGCTTGTTTTTTTCGTTTGGAAAGAATGATGCCCTTCTTTCATTATTTTTGCCCCATTCATTGGTCAGTACTTCGTTTACGAGCAGATTTGCTCTTTCGTCTTTTCAATATTTATATCAATTTCTTTTTTCAGTGCATCAATTTGAATAAAGTTACTTGAATCATTTCTGTCTAGAGTATCTGTTGTTGCGATCTGTTTCGATGAATATCTTTGTCGTTTTTTTTTATTTTGTTTTTTTTTTTTGGTTTTTTTTAACGTTGCGTGCATCGGACAGAAAATTTGCGCAGGAGCGCTTTCTGACCGAATGGAGAACCTTGTCGGGACTGGCGCATTTCTCAAGTATATTCATTTATTTTAAGGTCTGGAATAATGTCGGACACAAGTGAGGAATCTGACGTTGAACAGCAAGAGCCCGAACAGGCGGTGGATTTCGAGGAGAATCAGGTGAGCAAAATTTTCCTTTTTCTCATCTCCCCTATCTCTCTTACAGGCTTGAATGGTTGTATCAGAATACTTGTTTTCCCCACCGTACTGTTGTTATCTTTTCTAATTGCTTTGACCAGTGCTGCATTTCCCAGTTGTCAGCATGATTGCTGTCCGGACATTCTTCTGCTGAGGAATGTCTAAGGCTTTAGATGCTTGAGAATGTTACTAATGTGTGTGTGTGTCTCTGTGTGTATGTGTGCGTGTGTATATTTAAGGTTAAGTGAAAATTTAATTGGAAAAAGTAAAACGGGGTAATGGTAAAAATAAAAAGAATGAAGAAGAAAAGATATAAATGGAAATAATAAATAAGGTAAGAAATGTTTCGGTCCATTAAGTCGTATACATTTATATGTTTGTATATGTGTGTGTTTGTGTATATGTGTGTGAAACACCACCGCCTCTTCTGAAGCGATGCCGTTCCTCAAACTTAAATTTTAAAATCCATTACTTACGTTATTTGAGGGAGTACGCTTATTTGTTCGAACTGAAGCTTTCTGTTTACTTCAGGATGATGAGAACCTGGAAAGTGACAATGATATCAAAAGCGGACGAAAAAGAAAGGTATAGTTTAACTGATACGGGGGAAATTAGTTCGTTTTTTACCAGT